CCATCTCAGACACATCTCTAGTCAACCCCCCAGGAGACACCCCCCCCAAGTGAAGACCAATGCAGGAAGCCGGTTTTCAGAGCAGGTTGTTTCCCGTGACCCTGCCTGGAGGAGTTGAAGAGGCCTTTCATTTCCCAGCCTTCACCCAGACCAGGGAGCCTCTGTGTGCGGCATGGAGCAGGTCAGGGTGGGAGCAGGGATCCCAGTAGGAAACAGGGCAGGAAGCATAAGGCAGAGAGGCAAATCAGGCAAGGAGCAGAAAGTGGAGTAGAAGATAGGGAAGGAAGTAGAAAACAGAGCAACAGATCAGGCAGGGGAAGGATCGGAGTGGCACTTAGGGAGGGCACAGAGCTAATCCATGTGCCTCTGCTGCCCTAGACACTGAAGCAGGTCCTCCGCTGGTGCCCGCTGCCTTAATCAAGAGCTACCCATTGATGACAGGTCAGGATCTGGCCCCCTGAGTTCCTCCCACTGGGGATTTGGCCCATTCCCTTTGCTGCAGCAGGATGAGGGGCAGCCTGGCCCTGCGACTTGGGTCAGAGCAGTTCAGATCCAGCCCTGTTAACTCTGGACCCAACGCACCAGCAGAAAAGCTAAAGAAACCACAAGGCTGTTGTGAGTCTGGGGCTCGGTAAACCACGACCTTGTGGGTGCATTGCCACGCTCTGGCCATAGCTGCCGCAAGGACGCAGTTGCCTCCTGGTGCGGTGCAGACCTGCTTTTGTGCACCATTTTAAATGCAATTAGCCAGGGCAATGACAGCGCTGTGAGGGGCGCACGTCCCTGCAGTTAGAAAAGCATTTGTGTGTCTGGCTGGGGTTGGAACTGCTGTAAACACCACCCCGTTAGCCAGCCTCACGCCCAATGTGTTACAGAACAGTAGAGTAGCATCTCCGGGGACGTTTATTGAACTAAACCGGATTTTCTATGCATGCCACAGCATCGGTACAGAAACTAATTGCAGCCCACCCCTGCGAGCCTCCTGGGCTGCTTGATCCTGTTCATAACACCAGCAGACATCCACACTCAGATCTCCCCATGCTAAGCCATGCAGCAACTTCAGCATCTTCCTGCTCTCTCTCTGTTTTGACAGCTGCTACTGCTTGTGGCGGCCACGTCTTGCTGAATCAAGGTCCAGTTGTGTTGCAGCTCCTCTCCCATCACATCCCCATATACACACCTGAGGGCTCACTTCCGGGTTTTGACTGATGGTCCATCTCAATGGTCTTCATAGACGACTGCACCAGGCTGGCCCAGGGGATGGACTCTGCTCTTCATGAGCTGTGAGCTGGACACATGGACAAGCCACAGCCTCTGGACATCACCCTGCATCACAGAGCATTCCCCCTGCCCCAGGAAGGCAGAATTTAAGCAGCAAACCTGCTTCCTCTAGCACCCGGGTTATAATCAGTCCCTGGGGAGAAGCTCAGACCGGCAAAGCAAACAGTGGAGCTGCCCCATTGCTTGTGTCTCTGTGGTTGCCCAATGGGGCTCGCTCTCTTTGCAGAGCAGACATCAAGCCCAGTCTCTGAGACCTTTCATGATCTCAGTGCAGCCTCCCTGGTCCTGGCACCTGCACCCAGTATCAGCACAAACCCTGCCCTTTGCACAGGGCCATTTGCATCGCCTGATGACCGGAGGATAAGCCCCTGTCCTGATACCTCCCGCTTATGCCGCTCATCTGCTTTCAAGCCACTTGACAGCAAAAATCCAGCATCAATGTTGTCTGAAGGACACTGGCAGAGCTGACTACAGGCCCATGACTTCTGGACAATATTTTGCTTCATACTCAGATCTCCTTCTGCTTGGTCTGGGGGCTCAATCACTAGCATCTACTACTGGGCCCCTTTGCCCTGCTGGGTGGTTATCAAGGGGCTTTGATGCCTGTGAGCATCAGGTCCAAAGATGCTTCATTGTGAGGCTGCCCATTGCTGATGGATGCAGGGATAAAATCAGAGATCACCAGGCTGCTCAAGCATAGCACGGTTCATCCAGCCAGTCAAAGCACAAGTAGGGAACTCAAAGCTGAAGACACTGCCATAAAGACCCATGTCTGGATCCAAATTCTGGGCCCTTCTGGTCTCATACTGCATCCTCCAAAGTGAGGACAGGCATTTATTTTAAAAATTACATCTAGATTTCTCTCACCAAAAACTTCCAGCAGTGCTTCTCTACCCAAACGGAAAAAAAATAACTTTTTTGGGCAACCAGTCATTGGGGCTCTTATTTTTTGGTCAGAAGGCTGCAAAGACCAGGCTTGTGCACACAGCGAGGGGCACAGGGGGGGAATGCAGCACAGACTAGCTGAATTTCATTAACATGGGTAACGAAGGCAAGAAAAAGGCTATGGGTTGCGTGCATTCAGAGTCTGGCTGTTGGCACATGCTAAACCCGCAGTGCAGCATCCTCCCAGCTCGTGTGGGAGCACAGCACAGATACTCCAGCACAGGATCCCGTCCGATTGTGGGCTGGACATAGGCCCAGCTCACTGGGGATTTTTATCTCCAGTCACATTTTTATCCACACATTTCATAATGTGCATGGCGGCCTCACCTGTCCTTCTCAGATACCAGTGCACATTTCTTCCCCCATCTTCCCTGGAGGAGCAGGGGATCTCTGCTGTCCCATCAACTTCCACAAACAGGAGCCACTGAGGCTGGTGCAGATGTAACTGGACTCCCAATGCTGTGGAAACACAACAGGGCAATCGTCAGCTTCCAGTGGGTCTCGGGCTGACACAGGTGCCCCTCATGTCTCAGGACCAGAAAGCATTTGCTGCTAATACTGGTACTTTCCAGGTAGCCTTACAGCAGCAGCCTAACAACCCCCTCTACAGCTACCTCCAAGACCACAAAAAGGCATTTGCAATCCAGACCAGAGCCCAGCGCTGGGATCTGTGTCCTGCTGAGGATGTTCATGTCCCTGATCCCAGGAGCATGGTGCTGAGAGCCGTGTCGGGGGTTTACCTATGGATGAGACAATCAGGGTCTTGGCCAGGAACATGATGGCCACAAGTATCCTGACCCCCCGTCTGAGGGCTGCCGTCTAAGAGCTGCAGTGCAAGAGCTTGGGGCTGGTAATTTCCAGGGAGGAGCACCTCTCATGGGACGTGGCTGCTGGGCAGGGGGTGTTTTTTTAACCCCATCACCTTGCTGTGCACAGATCTACATCTCATTTCCCTGCATCTCACTGGTGCTTTGATTTACTGCAAGCATTAACACTTGCTATGTTAGCAGCTAACCTGCTGCAAACATTTCTCCTCACTGGCCTGCTAAGAGGAGCCCAAGTGTCTTAGTAGCTCAAACCCTATTGACTCTAAAGGACACCCCTGGTCACAGATCACTTAGGTGCTTGTGAGACTTATCCTGCTGCTCTGGGTTCCAGCCATACAAGTCCCCGATTTCTTGTGGGCACAACCCTCTCCCCAAGATGAGTGTTTGAAGCCTCTTTCAAAAGAGGCACTGGTGGCATCTGACATCCTCAGCTCTGCCCTGTTGGAGAAACCAGGCACCAAAAGCAACACCTTCAGAAGCACCTCTGTGGTTTGGGCTTCTGTCTGGTTGCAGAAACCAGCTACAGCCAGATTTTAAAGATGTTTTGGTGCTTGAAGGCATCTGGGAGCCACACGTCCCAAATGCGACAATCTCATACAAATATCCCCCACTGGACTAAGGAGCGGACGCACTTACAGGACAAGGGTGTCACTTATATTGGTATGTCAATGGGCCTCATTGACAATGGGGCAATTTTATCCCAGAACAGACTAGCTTCCCAGTGGCATGAGGCTGGGTGTTGTGTGTCTGCCCTCCTAGGCAAATAAACCCCCATGGCACCCTTGAAAGTATCTCAAGGCACCCCAGGGTGCTGCAGCTCCTGGTTGAGAATCCCTGCATGAAAGGATCAATGAGCAGGGGGTGTCTTTGATGCCGTCTGCTGTTTTCAGACCCTGTCTCTTCTCTGAGAGTCACCAGCCATTTTGCACTGGTATAAATGACCTCGGGGGGCGGGGGGGGGTGATGGGATCAGCCCCTTTCCATTTCAGGACTCTGAAGGAGACAGCAAAACCTACTGCCCCACTTCACTGACACCCGAGAGCTGTCACAGTGCAGGGCGTACAGGTTGAGGCCACGGCCCTCTGGTCTCATGACCCTGTGGGGAACCTGTGTAGTCAGAGGGACTTACCTGTGTGACTCTCAGAGAAGAGACAGGGCCTGAAAACAACAGACGGCATCAAGGACAGCCCCTGCTCATTGATCCTTTCATGCAGGGATTCTCAACCAGGAGCCGCAGCACCCTGGGGTGCCTTGAAATACTTTCAAGGGTGCCATGGGGGCACCACGTAGGACCAGTACTGCTAATTGTGCAGAAACAATTCACAAGAGAAACGCAAAGCTTGTATATAGGATTACAGCATAGCATTAAAACATCCTGCCCTGCTGTGAGCTCTCAGAGATATTTGCAACAGGAGAATCGCTCTAGCATTTTTGTGTAGTCAATAAAGAAGTGGAAACAAAGAGCTGATTTTCCAAGGGGGGGCTGGAGTCTAGCTAGGAGAGTGTTGAAATGAAAAGGGTTGAGACCACTGTTTCAGTGGGACTACTTTCACTATGACAGTCCATCTTCTCGGCCCACAGCCCCGTGTCTCACCTCCCCCAGAGTGGATTCCAGTTCCAAGTGCTCTGAAGCTACAGATCGTATTGGAGTCAAGGACATGTTTGCCACCTGCCTTTGGAGGATGAGCTATGGGAATCGGGCACATCCCCAGTTGTCAGTACTTGTTCCTAAAGATCAGGAGTGGTCAGAAATGACCTGGCCTCTCTGGGTTCGGTTCCCCCTGCTCGAGGAAATGTCCCATGTGCAAATACCTCTGCACCTCCATCCCCCCACAGCTCGCCCCCCGGGGAGCAGTTCACTGCCACGTGATGGAGCCCTTTCGCAGGGGAGCAGACAGCGCCAGGAGCTGACTCTGCTGGACTGTCCTTCTTCAGTCCTTTCTCGAGATGCTGGTCGCAGGATGCCTGCTCCTGTCTGTCCTGGGTAAAACCCCTTCAGTGTCACAGCATCAAGCCTCTAGACCGGAGGAAGCAGCCTGCCCCTGAGCACATCCCTTGTTGTGATGGGACAGAGACTGAAGCAGATGCTTAGGACGGGACGGGAGGCTGATGACTATAACACCTGTTCTCTTTCTGCAGCCTTGGGGGCAGCGTTATCCCTGCACCAGACTCCACCGGTCCTGTTTGCTGAAGTCGGCGGCACCGCAGAGATCCTCTGCTCTCCTGGAGAGCCAGTGGAGGGAGGGAAAGGCAAATATTACTGGTACCTGAGAAGGGAAGGGAAGGTGCCCACCTGTGTCTGGAAATGCCTGGATGACAATAACAAGAGCAGGTTTGCCTGCAAGCTTGATAGACACGGCCTGACCCTGGAAATCTCCAGCATCCAGCACAACGACTCTGGTGTTTACTACTGTGCCGTTAAGTGGGGCTTTTACCTGGCTTTCGGCAAAGGATCCAGGCTGATAGTTGGAGGTAAGGGAACAAACTTACCCTGAATGCCTGGCAAAGGAGAGACACAGACAGCTTGGAAAGCCCATTTTGCTGGGAAGTGGGACATGGGCTGAAGGAGACAGAGGTGCTGGGGAGGGAGGTCCTGCAGGTTTCTAGTGCGTGGGTTGGGGGAGAATTAAATTGAAAAGGCTCTTAGTGGCAGAGACAACTGGGATTTTCTTTTAAAATCCTCCTTTAGTGACTATCATGGCCACAATGGATCTGAACCCACAGTCTCAGATGTACCTGGCAAACCCAATCCCTTCCATGGGCAGACATTTTATGCTAAGGGTATCCCCTTCTGTGAGCTGTGACCCCCCAGACCTGGGCAGTTATGCCTGGATCCCTGCACAGGATTCAGAGGGGCACACAAGCCTCCCTGGGAGCCCAGTCAGGCCTTCACATCCCCGGGTGGCTGGCAGCCTCGCTGCGTGTGAGCCACGGGGGGGATCAGTAAATCCTCTACTCTGTTCTGCTCAGACAGTTACACCCCCAGTGCCTCCGTGCTGCTCCTCGCTGCGTCTCCCCAGGGGACTGATCTCTCGGGGACGGCTGATCTGGCCTGTCTGGTCCGTGGTGTCTCCAACCCAGTGCACGTTGCCTGGACTATTCCTGGGGCTTCTCAGGAACAGCAGCTGACCCGGTCAGTGAAGGGAAAGGACGGAGCCTTAATGCTCATTAATCACATCAGCATCCCCGTGGCCACCTGGGCCAGCGCCGCAGCTGTCACCTGTGAGGTCTGGTTCAACTCCTCCGGCAGCAGTGTTCAGAGAAGCGCCTGGTTCAGGAAGCGTGAGTAATCGTGTCTTTGGTTGTGGGTCTCAGAGAGACCTCAGACCTCTAGGACAGGCAGGAGACTCCCAGTAAGAGCCACTTGACTGCAATTAGAGAGGCAAGGAACTGATGGCCACAGGAAACTGGGATTGGGTGGGATGTTACGGACAGGTATTTAGAAGTACAAATGGATGGATGGAGGATGGATGGATGGATGGATGGACAGGGATTGTTGATTGGGGCAGATGCAATGTTGCACAGATGAGCCAACAGAGCGTGTGCAGCCAGCATGTTACAAGGGCACTGATAACCATCCTGGCCTGGGGAGGAGCTATCGGGAGGAGGCTGAAGGTGAAGGGGGAGGCTGAGAGCAGCCAGAGCTGGAAACAACATAAAGTGCTGAGCAAAAGGCAGTGGAGGGGAGAGGGGGGGATGGACTGAGCTTGCTGTGCCTGGGTGCCGGGCTGCACAGGGCACGGGTGTGACTCTCTCACCCTGACGTATCCTCCGCTCTGATTTTAGGCTCCAGTCACAACTGCATTCCT